ATTACAGTTCTTAAATCTTCTCCCTTGGATGTCTCAGGGTAACCCCTGGATCCTTAGATTATTCCTTCTATTTCTATTTTCCTGATCTTCTTATGTTATATAACAGTTTCCTCTGTTCACTTCACATTTCCGCCATTTGCTCCTTTAACTCAGATATTACTTGTGCGTATTTATCCAATTTTTCTTCCGTTTCTTCCACTCGAGACAAAACCTTCCCTAAATGCAGGATTGCCATATCGTTCTTTATTGAGAGTTCCAACTTCACAAACATTATCTGCCATTTCAATCTTTGTAGGTATTTGTGAGCTTCCCATTTTGTTCTTCGCTTAGGCTTTTTAGTTTATCTTTACCTAGATTCAAATCTGTTGTTTCTAGGGACAGTCTAGATTGATCTCCACTATTCATTTCCGTTTCCTGTCTTCCACTAGTTTTCCATTGTCTCTCCAGGGTTAAACCTCCTGGGCTTTTCTCCTGTGGGGGCATGTATTTTTTAATTGTACCTATGCTTGTTTTGGGTGTCTTTACTCCTCCTCCTTTCGCCAATCTGTCCTTCATAATTATTTTCTTTTCTCTTTTCCCCCTCTTCACCTTCCTTAGCGACTATGTATACACTCTTAATCCTCTTTTTGTTTTCGATAAGGGATTACACAGTTACATAGGTGGATTGAAGAGATAAATGGATATGGTACAGGTGTACAGGGCCTCTGCCTTCAATATTGTACTTTCAAATATCCACGTTCCTTCACGATTATTTCCAATCTTCTGGCTCCATCCCCTTAATACTTATTTTTAATCCACTGGATACCCCGTATCACTTCCTACCATAAGTTTCTCTAGGTACTGCCTCCAGCCACTTTATTTTCTTGATAAAAAAAAAGTATTCTCAAGGCTTAGAATGTTACTTATAATGTTATTTAATTGTGGGCACTCACCATTCTCCACAATATGATTGTCCAGCCTTTTATCCTTTCTTCAGCCCACACAGCTTCATAGTTTGCAGTACTTCTTCTCGATCTTCCTTCAACTTTGGGGTGACCAGGGGTGTTGTTGTACAGCAAGTTCTCCTCTTCCCTCTCTCTGCTCTGCCACTTACCTCCCAGGGATCTGCTTGACAGCTCTCATGGGACCTCCCGTAGCGGGGCTGGCTTCCTCCACAGGGATCCATCACCTCACTGTCACTGTCAGTCACAGTGCACTCAGTGCATACGACCCTAGCAGTCAGCTTGGTGGTCCCGGCTCCACCCCGCTCTCACTGGCCAATTCACAGCCGCCTCCACCAAGCCAGCAGGCAGCCAGGCAGAACCACCTGTACACCGCTCCCGCAGTCACCGCCACCTCCACACCGGGCTCCACCTCCACTCCGCCGTGCAGTCTCTGCTCTCCAGCCAAGCCACAGGGGCCCCAGCAGACACAGACTCCACCAACACAGCTCCCCAGTTCAGAAGGCATGAGACAAGAGGTATGTCTCTATCTTATCTCTCTCCAGCATCTTCCGGCAGTTGCCGGAGCTCCTAGCATACACTGCCTGTCGGTACCATGTTCAGGCCCCTCCCCCTGTGTGTGACCCCCATGCATCCATTCTAATGGTGTTGTTCTCCTTTGGGCACCTCCTCATGGACTGTATCCCCTTCTTATTTGCTGTGCTACACTTCATATGCTCTACACACTTTTTTTTTATAATTGTGTACCAACCCTGATTGTATATCTGCCTTATTGTAGGTATGTGTCCTTTGCCACTATGGTCTCCAGCGATATGCTTATTTTTGCATTTTTACTTTATATTCTTGCTTAGTTTTATTGTATTGTGTCACCTTTAATTTTTCCTTTTTTGAAACAATGTACATTTTTGGAACTTGTTTCTTTTCTAATACCGTTAATACGGGATTGTCTTGTTATGTTTTGTAGCAAATAGTCAATAAACTAAGATTGAACACAGAATATGTGTCCCCTTGGAAGATTTCCTATATATTCCTGTTCTGGCAACAACTCAAATTTTCTGATTTACTCCCTTTTAGCCCAATGACAATAATCACCAGGACAAATAGAGAGGGTAAATCTTCCTAATTGGGACACAGAGAACAATAACAAGCCGGACTGGTGTTCTAAAACTTCCCTACTCTACCAATACTAAAAAAAAAATGCTGTTTTAGATACACCCCTAAAATTTAGGGAGCTCAGCTTCCAGCCACAGAATAAATACTCTTATCAGTGTCATAATAAAGATTCAGGGAGATTCACATACTTTGATTAGTTAAAGAGGATCTTCCATCCTAAAGTAAAAAAAAAATAAAAAAGGTCAGCAGCTACAAATACTGTAGATACTGACTTTTTAAAAAAGGACACTAACCTGTCCAGGGATCCAGAGTTGTCCTCATCCGGCCGGCCTTTAGATCCTTCACGCCGCCATGTTTACTAAGGGAAGCCAGCTGTGACTCTTGCAGCTTCGCATTTGGCTTCCAACTACATATGCTCAAGCCATGCTGCATTGTATGAATGGTGGTGTCTTGGGTGGGGGGAGAACTTCCACTCTGACTGCCTGCTAAAACTAGCTACCCCCCCCCCCCAACAACATTCTCCAAAAGTGGGATAGGAGGGGGAAGGGGGAGGTGGTTAAAGCGGAGCTTCCCTTTTAGGGTGAAGTTCTGCTTTAAGCGTCCCATTATTATAGCCAAAATACTATAGCAAAGCCTGTTGACTGTGGTTCATGTTTTACCATGTACCATGCACATTACGATTACATCAGTATTTCTAGGTTCATTATACGGCAAGGGATTCATTATCCATGTGTGGTTTTGTCAGTACAATTGAAAATTACACAAAAAAAAGTTGTTTCTCCTGAAAAAGAAACAAAGAGAGTGACTGAAAGGTCTATTTATAGAAAGACACAGGTGATCAATCACCCCTTGTAAGTAGCTTGCGTCTATATTCATCGACAATCAGGTCACTATATGCTATATTTATAGACTTTTGTGCGTATTTCACACCCCCCATTGACAAGATAGCTTGGGGTTTGCAATCTGATTTGGCAAATCCTGATCAGTATATTTCAATGGATCCAATGGAAACAACAAACTCAATTTCATCACGGGTCACATCAGCATTATGGTTGCCCTCAAACGCCTGGTTGTGTCTGTAATACTATAATTCTAGAGCACCCCACCACCCCCTTACATCAGATGCCAAAATCCCCCCACCATCAAAAGTTAAGGAATCCCCCATTCTCCCTTTCATCACAGTGCATTCGCCTTACCTTGTTCTGCTGCCAGCAAAAAGCTAAGGGTGGAGCTAGGAAGCAGAAAGTGCAGGGTCTGGAGGAGGACCAGAGGAGGGCTGGAGTCAGCTGCTGGAGTTGCTGATTGATAAAACCAGGCAGAGAATAAGGGGGGGTACTGTGGCTGCACAGAGAGTTCTGTACTCTGCTGCTGTCTGCGGAGACAAGTTGTGGGAGGCGGAGGTGAGGGGGGTGCGCAGCTGCAGGAGAGGTGCAAGGGCCACATGAAATGGTCTGGTGGGCAAGATTTGGCCTGCAGGCTTTGTGTTTGACACATGTGATATACTGTATATATTGGAGGACCAGCCAAATATTTTTTATACCTTTGCTACAGACCTGTTGCCTCCTATAGCTAAATACTTGCCAACATACAGTATACTGACTGTGTTTATGTTGTGTAATATATATCAGACATTTATCCAGCAATTGTTTACCAGATGTGGGCGCAGACAAATATTCCTGGTTCCTGAACTGGCTAAAGTTTTTAAGAAGATTTCAGGGTCCAATACTACCTACACTTTAGATGCAATGAGCACATGTGTCACCACGAGAGTGGTTTGCGCTCACATTAATCCGTAGTCTTTCCTTATGCCAGGGGAAATCATTGATGCTTTCAGTCTTGGCTACAGCCCTTATAACATATTGACTTTGTTTTCTGAAAGCATCTCAAGCACTGCATGCTCTAAAATAGATGTGTTCTGTGAACCCAACACAGGCAGTGTCTACTGCTGGCAGTATTTTCTCAAAGCTAACTTTTCATCTAGATGCTGATATGTATGAGTATCCTGAGGACAGCCCCTAAATACAATTGAAAGCTTTCTATTTGTATTTAAAAACAAAAATAAATGCATTGCCAATCTGAATAATACACAGTGTACATAACTGTTCAGTTTTAATGAGATTTGTATGGACACAATAAAAAAAAAGCAGAGAATATGTAGCAGCTGTATCTGGAAACATCCGTAGTGTTACTGTGAATTAATGGCACTTAGCAGATACTGTCATGCCGCATAGATGAATTCATTTAAAGGACTGTATTAAAGGGCACAGTTATGATGGTAGGAATATTGGGCACTGTTTCTATGAGAGGCATGTGTCATTTGTTCTGTAAGTGGAACTCACTGAACAGAAATAATGTTTTTGGATGCCTTATGCCCTGGAGGCAGAATGTTCCATTGCCTGCTTGAATAATGTTGTGCTATATACGGTCAATCAAATCACTATGATGCTGTCTAAGCCAGAGGTGCACAAATAGTCCCAGGCTGGGATTTAAAACAGCAATGGCACATAAAGCATGCCAGCCTATATTTGTGAGCGTTGTCATATTTTTCTGAGATCTGAAAAAAAAAATGACTAGTAGGCACCAATAAAGTATTGAAGGTCATGTACAAAATATGACTAAGACTAATGACTAAGAGTCAGAAGCTCCTATCAGAACAAAAATACACTCATGTCCATCAGGCTTTTTAGTACCTGCCAGAGTTACCGAATTCCCAGTCTGTTCTGTGATAAAACTTTTATAGGCTGAGACTTTAGTTGTGTCATAGGTCTGAGACCCCAAATAGATGAGATTTCACATTTTTCTCATGAAATCGATGCCAAGTAAAGCTCAGTCATGCAACGCAGACAAGGTTCTTAAAGAGGACACACTAGTTTAATAGATCCATACCTAAGTATGAAATGCTTTCTGGTTGTTGAATGAAGTGATTTTACATTTGTTTCTGTGTAGATCTGCTTGCAGTACATTTAAGCTGCCTGGCATGCCAGTGTGTGGAAAAGTTGGGAAGGAAGATTTTGAGAAAATTTTGATAAACCAGTCAAATGCAGCAGGTAAGAGAAATTGGTGTTCAACGCATAGCAAATGTATATTAATTATGTCTTGGTTTTTTCATCTACCCCCATATATTCAGGGACTCCAGAAAGTGTTTTTCTTAGTCACATTTTTATTAAAAGCATGTATACATTTAATACATGTATGATCAATATAGAGTTGAGGCAAACTCCACACAGGGATAGAGGTGACAGCCTGAATTACAGAGAAATTAGTGAATAACATTATCAGTATAACAGTATCACAGCATCTCAAAACATAGTTTATTAAATATGTGAAAAGTGTCTCAACAAAAAAAAATCAGGCTGATACTGTAAACAACAACAAAGTCAATGCAAATAAAGATTGGCTTGGGGCAATTACTCATCAAGTGAATCCAGAATAGAGAGTAAGAAAGGGAGGTGAGGAGGGTCAAAGGATGGGGGGAAGGGTATTCGTGGGTTAGCCTGGTAAGTTGCCCAGTGTGGTGATATAAAGATCAATCAATATGAAGGGTCAAGGCTCCAATAGGATTGTAAGGAAATCAGGAAGAAGAAATTTGTCTAACCAGAGTTGCCAAGTCTTCAAATATGTGCAGCTTCTGTCCTGTATGTATCATTGCTTGGACTGCTCTATGCTTTATGGCCAAAACACAAGGCATGGGTTTTACAGAATTTTGCTATAGTTTGCTTTGTTGCTGTTGTGATTTGAAGTAAGAGTGGCTTTGGTCAGGTTCAGGGGGGAGGGGTTACATTTAGTAGAGCAGCCTGAGAGTCGGGTTGCAGGGCTGTACCAAATTAACAGTTGAGGACTTGAAAGATCTCCTACCAGAAAGAACTCACCAGGTGGCAGGTCCACCAAATGTGCAAATATGTCCCTGGTTCACCATAGCCTCTGAAGCAGAGGGTGCAGTAACCCAGGACATATTTCGCTATTCTCAAAGAGACAAGGAACCATTTAGACAGTACCTTATAATTGGTTTCATGTGCTACTATATTTTGCCAAGATATACACAGTGGCTAAATGGTTAGCACTTCCGCCTGGCAGTACTATGGTCTTTGGTTTGAATCCCAACCACGGCACCACCTGCCTGGAGTTTGCATGTTCTCACTGTGCCTACATGAGTTTCCTCCCACACTCCAAAGAAATGCTGGTAGGTTAATTGAATCCTGTCTAAATTGGCCCTAGTATGTGTATGTATGAATGTATGTTAGGGACTTTAGATTGCTTAGGGACCCTTGAGGCTTAGGGACTGATGTGAATGTACAATATGTATACTGCATATGTAAAGCACTGCGTAAATTGACACCACTATATAAGTACCTCTAATAAATAAATAAAATACATGAGTGGTCACTCAGACATCAGACCATTTTGCTGGTGTCAGGATTATAGATAATTCCACTGTGTAGCGAGTGACATAGGTGGGGGGAGAGGTCATTAGGCATCTAAAAAGTTGTGAGATCACACCCTTGGTGTAAGGGTCAGAGGAGCATAAATGCTCAAATGGGGATCTCCTTGGTAGGCTCTTCATGGGCTTTCAAAATTGGCTGAAAGAAATGTCTTATCTGCAGATGGTGAAACTGTTCAGAGCTAGGGATCTTATAGGTTTCTTGCAGATGGGTGAAAGTTTTGAAGCTCAAGGCGGTAAATAGGTGATGAAATCAGTTTAAATTGGAGCCAAAGGTGAAACGAAGCTGGGGAGACAAATGCAGGATAGAAGGATGGATTGTGCATGAACGAGAGCAGTGGATTCTGTGCGGACAGTAAGCCTGATGTGCATTTCACCCTGTCCCACAGGGATATAGAGTGTTGAGTAACTGGATTTACAGTGAGGAAAATAATTATTTGATCCCCTGCAGATTTTGTAAGTTTGCCCACTTACAAAGAAATGAAGGGTCTATAATTTTTATCATAGGTGTATTTTAAATGATAGAGACAGAATATCAACCAAAAATCCAGAAAAAAACACGGTACAAATGTTATAAATTGTGTTGCAGTTCAGTGAGTAAAATAAGTATTTGATACCCAAGCAAAACTTGACTTAGTGCTTGGTGGAGAAAACCTTGTTGGCAAGTACAGAGGTAAGACGTTTCTTGTAGTTGGTTACCAGATTTGCACACATCTCAAGAGGGATTTTGGTCCACTCTTCTTTACAGATCTTCTCTAAATCCTTAAGGTTTCTTGGCTGTTGCTTGGCAATTTCAGCTCCCTCCATAAATGTTCTAAAGGGTCAAGGTCTAGAGATAGGCTAGACCACTCCAAGATTTTAATGTGCTTCTTCTTGTGACATTCCTCTGTTTCTTTGGCAGTGTGTTTTAGGTCATTTTCATGCTGAAAGACCCATCTTCAGTGTTCTGGCTGAGGGAAGAAGGTTCTCATCCAAGATTTTACAATACATGGCCCCATCCATTGGCCCCTCAATGCGGCAAAGTCAGCCTATGCCTTTAGCAGAGAAACAGCCCCCCAAAAAAAATGTTTCCACCTCCATGCTTGAGTGTAGGGATGGTGTTCTTAGTCAGCAATTTTATTGCTCCAAACATGGCGAGTCGAGTTAATGCCAAAGAGCTCGCTTTTGGTATCATCTTACCACAGCACTTTCTCCCAATCCTTCTGTGAATCATTAAGATGTTCATTGGCAAACTTCAGATGGGCCTGTACATGTGCCTTCTTGAGGAGGGGGACCTTGTGGACGCTGCAGGATTTCAATCCATGACGGCGTATTGTGTTACCAATGGTTTGTTTGGTGACTGTGGTCCCAACTGCCTTGAGATCATTCACATGCTCCTCCTACTGTATGCAGTTCTGGGCTGATCCCTCACGTTTTATTCAATTGATGATTATTTTATCATTCTTCCATTTGTGAATAATTGCCCCAACAGTTGTCTCCCTCTCACCAAGCTTCTTTATGATGGTCTTGTAGCTCATTCCAACATTGTGCAGGTCTACAATCTTGTCCCTGACATCGTTTGGCAGCTCTTTGGTCTTTCCCATGGTGATGATTAGGTTTGAATGGAAGAAAGAGATTCTGTGGACAGGTGTCTTTAATACACATAACTAGTTGTTATCAGGAGCACCTTCTTAAATTGACAGGACTAATCTGTGTACCACATGAGCACATAGCCAGTCTGTGGGAGCCAGAATTATTGTTCGTTGGTAGGGGATCAGATATTTACTTTACTCACTGAACTGCAACTCAGTTTATCACATTTGCATCATGTTTTTTTTTTCTGGATTTATGGTTGATATTCTGTCTCCATCATTTAAAATACACCTATGAAAAAAATTATAGACCATTTCTTTTAAGTGGGCAAACTTACAAAATCTGCAGTAGATCAAAAAATGATTTTCCCTACTGTATAATTGTGCCCCGTTCTCTTGGAGAAAGGATATCCCAAAGGATATTATCTATTAGAAGGGAGACTAAGTCTAAAGCCTACCCAGAGTGGTACATTTCAGGTTGCATGATGTTTCAAGAGCGAATAAAATGTTTAATGGTGCAGCAAACCATATATATTGACAAAAAGTTCTGAAAACAAATGAATAATGCAGAATCACATTATATTATATTTGTAAAAATTACATTATTATATGCTACAAACACATTTAATCAATTGCAAGTTTTAAATGTATTGACATAAATGAGCTTAATATAAGTCCAATGTACTATGTGCCTGTGGTTGTACATAAAAAAGGTGTTATTGTGTAATCTAGTTTGCATAAAATCTCTGCCAGGTTTGCATGTCCAAGTATGGATAAGTACAAGGCAAGTAGCGCCAATATTATGGTCAGCAATATTATTAATGACAAGATAATTACTGGTAATGTGATATAGGAACACCATTGTGGTCATATGGACTACTGTAGTAGTGTTTATCAATAAGTAAAAACAATAATGGTATTGCTGCAATCCTGTAAAATGAAAGTAAAAAAGCTAAGGTATATAATAATTCTCATAAGTAGGGTATTTTTAGTAGGGCCTTTGCTCCTAAATTACCATGCTATTTGGTTTCCTCTGTAAACATTTGTAGTTATCATAGTCCTCCTTTTCCATTCTCATGTTGTGAAATGTTATCATTTTAGGAGTTCCTGTGGACGATGTTAAAAAATCTATAGGAGAAGAACTTTTCAAACTATGTTATGAAGAAGATGAACATGTTTTGGAAGTTGTTGGAGGGTCACTGAAAGACTTTTTAAACAGTTTTAGCACACATTTAAAACAAAGTGGACAAAGCAGAACACAGGAAGATGGGGGTGGACTTCAAGAAGGGTCAATCTTGTGCCTAGAAAAAGACCCAGATTACTTAAATGTCTACTATTTCTTCCCAAATAATGTAACAAGATTGATTTTACCAGGGATTATTAAAGCAGCAGCATATACACTATATGAAACAGATGTGGAAGTGAAGTTGATACCACATCGTGATAACGATAGTAGTGACTTTATCAAAGAACCCTATCTTTTATACTCTGTGGAGGTCAAAAATACCAAACCATCCTTGTCTCCATGTAAACCACAGTCATATGTGGTTATCCCAGCAGCTATCTTCTGCAAGACTTTCCCTTTCCATTTTATGTTTGATACAGACATGAATATGCTACAGATTGGTAATGGAGTAAAGAAACTGCTCAACAGAAAGGACATTCCTGGGAAAACCAACTTTGAAGAAAATTTTGAAATAATTTTCCCCAAAGATAAGCAGTACTTTTAGTGCTATCATGACTATGTTGAATATGCAGTTTACTGTAAGAGTTAAAAGATGGGACACAACCATTGAGAATTCACCAGAGGTAAGATCAGTTACAGAGAACTAAGATGTTTTTTATCTGACTACTTTAGTATTTAGTAGTATATGTTTTGCTTTATTTGGTGAGGGCAACTTTTGTTGCAAATTGCAAGTTATCATTTTACATCCATTTGAAATCCAGTCCAACCAACAGAATGATTTGCAGGTAAACTCAAATATGCACATGTGAAGCAAATTAAATAACTATACAGAACACAGGACCTTAGTTTTAATCATTAGTTATATGCAGGGCTTTTTTTCTTAGAGAATAGGTGCAGGAACCTGCCCATTCTTAGTCACACTTCTTTTAGAGAATACAGAATCAAGTATCAGTCTGTGGTGCTCAGTAACTTGCATGGAATTTGTTAATGATAACAAGAACAGCAGTGAATTAAATTCCCTGCAGTCAGCAACAAAAGACCCCCCAGCGACAATAGATTCCACAGCAACAATACACACCTCAGGAACAATAGATCCCCAATTAACAACCCCCCCACAGTAATAATAGACCTCCCAGCAAAAATAGATCCCCCACACAACAATAGAACCTCCCCCAACAACAGTGGACCCCTCTCAACAAAATTCCATCCCTGCAACAATAGATCCACCCCATCAATAGACTCCCAGCAGCCAGCATCAATAGATCCTCCAGCAGAAGGCAACAGTAGACTGATCCATCAAGAGTAGATCCCTCCCAGCAACAATTGACCTTTCCCCAGCAAGATAACCCCCCCCCCCCCAAAAAAAAAAAAGTGCCAGGAGCACTGTATTTGAACTGTATTGCACAAAATAAAGCATAGCTGCAAGCAGCACTTGAAGGACATAATTAATTATGGACACGTTTATTTAAAGCTGCACTACATGGGATATTATATGTTAAAAAATAATAATTTAGCATTTTGCACTATCGTTGAATGTTGGTTTAAAGCGCTGTGATTAAGGACAAAATTTTATACCTTCAGGTGATTGGCAAAAAAGCTGCAGCGGCACCCTCTATATAATCCCAGTTTGCATCAGTTTTATGTCCTTGGGTGATGGACTTCTTCTCTCAGCTGAGATAAGCTTACTTCTTTGTTATAGTTTATCTCTCAAGATTCTTCTGTCAAGTTTCTAGCTGCTCCCATAGCCACTGTGGCTTTTCTTCAGCAGCTTTCCATTTCAGCTGGACTCTTCAGCTGGAACCCCTATTGATTCAGGGCAGGCTTGTAAAGCTAATTCAGCACTGGATCCTGTGTGGGCACTCATCTTGGCACATAGTGCTTTGGATTGAGTCAACCACACGTTGCCATAGTTTACCTGCGGGGGAGTCCTGTCCCCTGTAGACTGTAGACCCTGTAGCTTTGATTAATTCAGGTTTATTTTGACCTACCTATAATTTTGAGGCCACAACTATCAGTGAGTGCTGTTCTTATGGGTGATGGATCACGTAGTGGACTGCATGAATCCATAAATGTAATATTTGAAGAATATCAAATTGCTAGAACTGTTTTTTAACATTTAGCTCCCATTGACTACAATGGGGTTCCGGAATCATCACTCAGTCTTTAGCCATGTTTGCCAAACCATGCTCAAACCTAACCCAGGAATGTTTGGCTCATTACTATGAATAACTTCAAAATACCTCAGCTGTGCTTTAACACCCCTTGAAAATCTACAGGCAGCTTCTTTCCACTTCATGCCACATCCCATAATTCAATCCAGTTGCCTTGGCAACTAATTGAAATGTGTCCCCAAAGCATTGTGAAATGCAATGGTTAAGTGTTGTGCTAATCTTTGACTCTTCGTAAAGTCAAAACTTTATTACTTGCTTAGAGTTTCCAGAGCAAAACTGAAGCATTTTTTTCAGTGTGATATGTTGATGACGTCTGCTATTGCACAATTGCTAGTAAAACATTTTTTGGACATGTATGTTTTAATATATTTTAATATGTTTTTCAGGGTGATAGGATAAAATTGGAACAGTGGGTGGTAGAATATCAATCTCTGTTTGAAACATTTTTTTTATGTATTATTTCTGTTAGAAAATGTGATTTGCTAAAACACTAAACATCTGATGTGAGAAGACAAAGTAAGAAAGCTTCAGGTACCAAATTTCATGCAGATGTGTAAAGAAGATATACAAAAAAGCATGTTGATAATTCCAGTGCTTTAGGGATGTGTGGCTAATTTTAATAGCCTTTTTACTTTCACTCCGGAGTAATTTCAGAATAAAAGTAAATTCATTCTTCTCACTATGATTATGGATGGGACTTCAACCTTCTGTCTAAAAAAGTGGAATTTCAGGTTTTTCCAAATTATACTTAGACCTGCTCCCACCCCACTTCTAAATTCTATACTAACCACCCTGTAAATGGAAGATGCATATACTTACCTATTCTCAGAGTCTGGTCATGTGATCTTCTCAGTGGCGGCTTCAGGGGAGAAGATCCCCAACAGCAGCCGCAATGCCTGCGTAGTGACATCACCCATAGGCTTGCTATGGGACATATGTTGTTGGCTGTACGTTTTCTCCCCTGAAACCTCTGCTGGTCACATGACCGGACTGGAGTGCCCTCAGAATAGGTAAGTATAAACATCTTCCTTCACAGGGTAGTTAGTTTAGGATTTAGAAGGGGGCTGGGAGCAGATATAAGCATAGTTAGGAATAGCCCAGAATTTCATTGTAAGATCCTTTGTTGTTGTCCCTGTCATGCCCCAATGTGTGTGCAAGGTTACAGTGAAGCAACTAAAAGCAGTTGATCCATTGGAGAATTTATAAACTGTATAAGTGTAAATTTGTCACGCCAACCCTAATGCTAGTCAACTAAAGTAGCATAACAGTGCATAAACATAAATGAGCAAGTAGATACCAGTGCATAGCCATACATAAATGCACATTACATATATTTATCGTGCAAGTGTCCATAAATGTGTCCATAAAATAACAGTTCAACCTAAAAAACTCTCCACGAATTCTTCTAAATTCTCTTTGTTAATGAAAGTCCACTACAGTAAAAAATATATAACGTGACTCCCACCACCATTTACTCATGCACTCGCCTCAAGAAGCTGACCTGGTAAATTCCAGGTCACAAACACTTTCCCTTCCTTGGGGTTATTCCCAGTCTCCACTCCGTGTGAACACTCTAGGAAATCCTGCTTCTGTCACCACTTCCATATATGAGTGCAGATTCATCATACAGTGGGACAAAAAAGTATTTAGTCAGCCACCAATTGTGCAAGTTCTCCCACTTAAAAAGATGAGAGAGGCCTGTCATTGGCATCATAGGTAGACCTCAACTATGAGAGACAAAATGAGAAAAAAAATCCAGACAATCACATTGGCTGATTTGGAAAGAATTTATTTGCAAATTATGGTGGAAAATAAGTATTTGGTCACCTACAAACAAGCAAGATTTCTGGCTCTCACAGACCTGTACCTTCTTCTTTAAGAGGCTCCTCTGTCCTGCACTCATTACCTGTATCAATGGCACCTGTTTGAACTTGTTATCAGTATAAAAGACACCTGTTCACAACCTCAAACAATCACACTCCAAACTCCACTATGGTGAAGACCAAAGAGCTGTCGAAGGACACCAGAAACAAAATTGTAGACCTGCACCAGGCTGGGAAGACTGAATCTGCAATAGGCAAGCAGCTTGGTGTGAACAAATCAACTGTGGGAGCAATCATTAGAAAATGGAAGACATACAAGACCACTGATAATCTCCCTCGATCTGGAGATCCATGCAAGATCTCACTCCGTGGGGTCAAAATGATCACAAGAGCGGTGAGCAAAAATCCCAGGACCACACGGGGGGACCTAGTAAATGACCTGCAGAGAGCTGGGACCAACGTAACAAAGGCTACCATCAGTAACACACTACGCCGCCAGGGACTCAGATCCTGCAGTGCCAGACATGTCCCCCTGCTTAAGCCAGTTCATGTCTGGGCCGTCTGAAGTTTGCTAGAGAGCATTTGGATGATCCAGAAGAGGATTGGGAGAATGTCATATGGTCAGATGAAACCAAAATAGAACTGTTTGGTAGAAACACAACTCGTCGTGTTTGGAGGAGAGAGAATGCTGAGTTGCATCCAAAGAACACCATACCTACTGTAAAGCATGGAGGTAGCAACATCATGCTTTGGGGCTGTTTCTCCGCAAAGGGACCAGGACGACTGATCCATGTACAGGACAGAATGAATGGGGCCATGTATCATGAGATTTTGAGTGCAAACCTGCTTCCATCAGCAAGGGCATTGAAGATGAAATGTGGCTGGGTCTTCCAACATGACAATGATCCCAAACATACCGCCCGGGCAACGAAGGAGTGGCTTCGTAACAAGCATTTCAAGGTCCTGGAGTGGCCTAGCCAGTCTCCAGATCTCAACCCCATAGAAAACCTTTGGAGGGAGTTGAAAGTCCGTGTTGCCCAGCGACAGCCCCAAAACATCACTGCTCTAGAGGAGATCTGCATGGAGGAATGGGCCAACATACCAGCAACAGTGTGTGCCAACCTTGTGAAGACTTACAGGAAACATTTGACCTCTGTCATTGCCAACAAAGGATATATAACAAAGTATTGAGATGAACTTTTGATAATGACCAAATACTTATTTTCCACCATAATTTGCAAATAAATTCTTTCCAAATCAGCCAATGTGATTGTCTTGATTTTTTTTCTCATTTTGTCTCTCATAGTTGAGGTCTACCTATGATGCCAATTACAGGCCTCTCTCATCTTTTTTAAGTGGAAGAACTTGCCCAATTGGTGGCTGACTAAATACTTTTTTGCCCCACTGTATATAGGTGTCCTTTAAAAAGGGTGGCCTGTTAAAAAATCAGGGTCACTTTCTGCAATGAATTCACAGAATACAGAGGATCCCCATAGTTCAATACATTCTAAAATGACTTTATTAACATAGTATTGCACTTACATATTATAAAAAACAAGCTTGCGATATTTAAACACAGCGGGGCTGCTGCTGCCCCACATCATTTCCGGTTTCAGCACTCAGTCACCT